TTCTAGGGGAGAAAGTTTATTTTGACTTTTAGTTTCAGAAGTTTCTGTCCATGGTTGGCCAGCTTCATTGCTATGGAGCTGAGATGAGGCAGAAGATGAGGCAGAGTATAATGATGGAAGGCTGTGTTGGGAGAAAACTGCCCAGCTCATGACAACCAGCAAGCAGAGAGAGGAGGAAGGGGTCAGGGACAAGATATAGTTCCCAAGGGCATACCACCAGTGGCCTACTTCTTCCCACAATACCTATAATTTTGGCCATCTCTCAATAATCCCTTCAGATAACAATGAATTAATCTACTGATAAGGTCAGAGCCCTCATGATCCAATTACATCCTAAAAGCCCCACCTCTGTACATTGCTGCGCTGGGGACCAAGTCTCAACATATGAGCTTTAGAGGGATATTTCATACCCCATCCATAACAGTGTTTGATTACTATATCCCTCCTGTTTGAGTACAGGTAAATATGGTGTTTAGACTCCAGGATCCTGGGGGATACTAAGGGGAAAAGGACTACTCAGTTGTTCAAGACTCTTTACTGCACAACAAGAGAAGAAAACCAGAGCCCTAACTTAAAAATAAATAAACACATTCATGGAGTACATTCCCTTTGTTAGTGTTCCTGTTGCTAAGTGTTCTCACATGTTGTTCTCGGAAAACTCCTGTGAGGTGGATCATATTATGTACAGATTTTAGATGATGTAATCAAAGTTCAGAGACATTAAGTGACTTGCCCCAAGCTAGAGAGATTGTAAATGACAGGGCTGTGATTCAAACTCAGGTTTTTTGACTTTAAGGCCAGTGATCTTTTTGTCATACCATAGTGGCCAGCTATTCCGTATCCCCCTGCTTGGGAAGCCCCAGGTTCCCCTTGTAGCTATGGAGTGTGGGTTTGGGGTGTGGTTGCTTAGTAGTAAACGCCCCGTGGTTAAAGGACTTGATTGCAAAGTTTTGAGAAAAAAGCAATAATGCCAGATTCTTTCAGTGTCACAGATGGGAAAATGATTCAGAATCATATGCTCTTGGGCAACCAAATTTGGTTGCAAATTTTTCTTTCAAGAAGTTGATTGCTCTTTATACATGAGTAAAGCCACAGCAGATGAGAGATCATGACACTACTGTTGAGATCCATTTCCAAGGCTGTGTTATCGGGCAGTTAAAGGGGAAGTGAAGCAGATTCATGATGTAAGGGAACTTCGTCTTTGGTGCCCTTTTTCTGACCCTTAATTTAAGACAATTTCTTTCTCCTTTGTTGTCCTAGTAGTATAGGGGCCTGGTTGGCAATTTATAAGGAATATGAAAGATTGTTCTACTGTCTTGTTAAATCAAGAGAGCTCAAAATGGAACCTCTTCTTGGGATATAAGAATTTTTCTAGGGAGTATATGCAAAAGGATTGAAGAATTGAATTTCTAAATGGTGGTATCCTAATATACATAAATGAATACATATTTTGGGATTTAAAAAAAAAAAGCTGTATGACCAGACAAGAGTGATTGTATAGTAGAATTAGATATTTTATCTTAAGGTTAATATTATTAAATTAATAAGTCAAAGTTAGGTCCCTATGATTTAAAGGTTTTAGAAATATGGTTAAAACAAATAAGCAAAATTTAAAATATGGACTTAAATGCAAAAAGTCAATGAATGTTGGGATGAATTTTTACCTGTTGGAAATTTTCCCATTTGTATAATAGGAATTCAGGGATCATGGTTTAATATGCTTCATCTTTATGAAATAAATAACTAAGAAAGACCAAACTATCGGATTTGATGCAGAAATTAATGCGGGGGGCATTTTAATGCTGGATTTCTTGAAAGAAAATTATCTGGAGACACTGAAATTTTGTACTGTGGGATATCACTTAACTGGGATGTGCTAAAGAGCCAAGCTGAGGAGTCACACAGACTTTTGTTCTGAGGTTGTATCAGTTATTTAATTTCTTTATACTGAAGTTTTCTACTCTGTAAAATAGGAAGAGAATTTTATAACTGAGTTATTTGAAGAAAATTCTAATAATCAAATTGAGATGTTATTTTAGAAATAACCAGTAAATGGACACTTAAGAATTCAGTGAAATTCTAAATCGCCCCCTTTCCTTCCTCATTTTAATAAACAATTTGTAACCAATCCTGCCTAAATATAATAAAATGTTTCTATAGTTTCCAGATCAAAGCCAGGCCTTCTAACAGTGAAATGAAAGTAGGGTTCAGCCAAAAAACAAGCCTATAAAAAATTGTGTGTGGTTGAATAGTCTTAACCCTAATGTATCTGTACTATGATTTCATATTGAGTTGTGAAATTGGCATATTTATCTGGGATACAGAGGAGGAATAAATTCCATGGAACATAAGTCAAAAACATCCAGTAGGCAAAGCTGTTTATATTCCAAGTGTGGACTCACAACATAAATTTTAATTCTTCAATCATCATGTATATTATTATATATGCTATAATATAATATGCATGATATAGATTATAACATATACACTGATATGCATTTATATATTAATATATTGTACATATGAATATATTATATAATTATATAACATTATATAATTATATATAACTGATATATACATAAAACAGATATATAAAGTCAAGAAACCTCACTAAGCATGCTTTTATTGGCAGCAGCTTGTATTGACGTATTAATAGCAATAAGATAGCCTATTTCCTAAATGGAAGAAAACCTTTTGGTACTTTGCCAAGGTCCTGATGCTTAAAAAGGTAGAGCAGGGGGGTGAGGATGCATTTGACAGAATGAACTGGTGATCCATGGCAAATCACTGTACTTGGTGAAATATGTACCAAAAAATAAGAACCACTGAACATGTACTATCTTTATGGATAGTTTCTATCTCTTGAAATAGATCAAAGCAAAACCAAGATGCTGAAAAAGAAAACGAAATCATGGGATTTGAAGGCTTGGTGATGTAGCACCTTGAAGCTGTTTTGAGGACTTTCGAAGGGTTTTCAACAGAAAAGTGTCATGATCTGACATGTTTTAGAATAGACTATAATGAACAAGAACTGATACAGGCAATTTTGTTAGGAGTTTGTCTTAAATTAGGTAGGTGAGAAATTGTATTCTTGGACCAGAGTGATGGCAGTGGAGGTAAGATCATGAAATTATTTTGAAGATAGAGCCAGTATGGTTTTTTATTGGGTTACGTATGAGAGTAAAAGAGAAATGAAGGATAATCATAAAATTTCTTCCCTAATTCAACAAAGGATGTTGACTCTAACTGAGATGGGGAAATCTGTGAAGAAGTAAAATTTTGGGAAGAGTACAGGGAATAAAAAATGTGATTTTAGTCTTATTAAATTTGAGATGCTTATCGAAATTTTAACTGGCAAGTCAAGAAGTGATGGATAAATAAATCTGGGGTGATGAGACATAAATTTATAATTGTCTATGAAATAAGACATCAAACAGAATAAGATACTCAAAGAATAAGAGAAGATCTTAAGACTTAGCCTTCAGACTCTCTTATATCTAATGAGCTGATTTGGAGGGGCTTCTGAAGAAGATTGGGAAGAAGTGGTCAGTGGGGAAGAAGAATCAAGTAAGAGTTTCATCCTAGAAACCAAGTGAAGAAAGTGTTTTAAGAAGCAGGGATAGATCAACTCTAGCAAATGCTGCTAGTCAGAGTACTACAATTATTAGGCAATGTGCAAATCACTGGTGGGTTTGACAAGTTGTTTAAACTGGAGGAGTGGAAACAAAAAGCCTCATCCTTAACCTTTGTAAGTTCTAGAACAAAAGTACCATCTGAGGTCAACAAATTGTTTATCTAAAATTTTTAAATGGAAAATCAAGATAGTAAATAGCAGACATCTTGTGACCACAGGCAATTAACATGACAGAAAAGCCAAGAAAACAGCAGAAACAATGGCCTTGAAGTAATTAAGCCACTCAACCAAGGCCAGCAGCCCCAGTCTTTCCACCAACCTTAGCAAGAAAGAAGGACCAGTTCTCACCTCCATTGCTACCTTGGCAAACTCCTGAAGGCACAGTGTGGGTCTGTATTGCTCTCCCCCTTAGTGTACACAGACAGACAGCAGCCTTGTCAGTGAGTTAAAACACAAGCTGCTTGGCTTTGGGGGGCCTTGGGTGTTTATGGGAGTTGTTTGGGAACAGTTGCCTTGGGATCCACAACATGGAAGAAGACATGAAACCTGTAGCGGGTGAGCTGGAGTGCATCCCCACCCCCAGAGAGAAAGGGGAGCCTCAGATACTTCTGTGGTCTAGAGTGAGCTCCCCATCTTTTCTGGGAAATCCTAATCTCACACTATAAGGTTTCTATTATTTGTGGTGGAATAAATTCTGATTCATAGGCACTCAATAAGTATTCATTACATGTCTGCCTACAGAAAATGGCATGACAGAATGACAGGACAGAATATGAGATGACATAATATGCATATACATTATGTATAATAATGGTGTATAAAAGCTATAAAAGTAAGGTGTTTAGTATGACTTCATATCTGTAGGTATGTATGGAATATATGTATGCATGTATGTATTGAGCATGTGTCAAGAATATATATGCATATGTACTGAGAAAAATGTTTACAACATTTTATAAACTGTTACAAGAACAGTTTACAAAAGGACCAGTTCTCACCTCCGTTGCCACCTTGGCAAACTCCTGAAGGCACAGTGTGGGTCTATACTACTCTCCTCCTTAGTGTACACACACAGACAGCAGCCTTGTCAGGCTGTTACAAGAACAGTTTACAAAATTAAAATGGTGATGGTCTCTGGGTTATATGACTTTTCAGATAGATTTTGTTGTCTTATTCATTTTTCATGGTATGATTTTTTTTAAATGATTACATTAATTTTAGGACTAGCAATGATTAGAAGTTTTAGGAAGGAGAACAAATGGAATATAGATGATTATGATTAATAGACAAGGTCATACTATATGACTTTTCCACATATGAAAATAAAACATACTTACCAGACTTTTCCCCAAATTTTTTTTTTGTGGAAAAAAAAACTTTGTAAGTACATGGTTATAGTTTTATGTTTCTTAACCAAACTGAACTATTTTAGCACATATCAATGTTTTTCAATTTGTTTTTTGTTAATTTTCTTATATACATTTAGTCTTAATCTCTACCCCAACCTCAAAATTTTAATACTAGACATATACTTGGTTTATGTGCTTTTGCCCTTTGAAGGTCCATAGACTATTGTAATACAAAGGGTTTTTTCGTTGTTGTTTTGCCTCTTTGGGGGTAATGTCGACCCTGTTGAGAAGGCTGATATCAGCCATGAACATTTCAACTGTCTTACCATTAAGAAAATGCTCATAAGAGGGGGAATGTACTTCCTTTTTATCCTTCATACATTTGTCTTCATACCCTTTCTTCCAGTATAACACTTTGCTCCTAGCAAACACTTGAAGCTTTATTGAATGTCTGAGCACTAAAATATTAGTTCAGCTTTAATCTAAGAAGAAGAGAGGTTTAGATTCCTATATCACCACCAGCTCATTCCAAATTTCAACTTCTTAAGCCTGCAGAAGATATCCTTCTCTTTAAGCTCCAAATCTTACTTCAAGACTTCTTTCCAAATTCCTGCTCAAATCTCTTATTTTGCATTCTCCCTACCAGTGTTTACTGAGTATCGCAGGAAGTTATTACTTATTCCACAAATCCACAGAGATTTGTGCTTGCCAGGGCCATTTCTGATGATGGCTCTTCATTCCTTTGCTCTCTGCATCTTGCTGTCCCCTAACAGTGCCTCTGTCTGCTTCCCCTCCCTTCCCCCAGTACTTAATTCCAATCATAAAATGACACTGGGTTGTGGTTTTAGCATAGCCTTCTTAATGCCAAGGACATCCCAGGAATTACAATGCAGACCAGAACTTGATCCTGCTGCAGCTACGGAGGTCACTGCTCAAGGCCAGGTTCCAGAGACAGTGTGCTCTACTGTGTGACTCTTCTGAGGCCCAACACATTGCTGGGGCCAGTGTATTTCCCCCAAATCAGACAGTCCTCTTCAGGTATCTTCTTCCTTCCCTTCCTCTTTGGGTATTGCCAGAGCCCAAAACTTTTCTGCTTTCAGCCTAGCCTAAAGAAAGGAAAACATCAGCATAAATAACCAAACAGAAAAACCAGACAAATGTCTGATTGTCCTTTGGCCATTTTAGGCCTCAGATGAAGACTGCTTTTTATTTCATGGTGCAAATAGGCTAAAGGCTCAGTCTGAACATATCTGCATTCAAATCCTTCATTGCAACTGAACTTTTGTGAATACAAAGTCTAACTCTACATTTCTTCCATCTTGTGTTCACTAAACAAATATTTATTAAGTGTTGACTCTGTGCCAGGTACTCTGCCAAGTATTCAGGGTACATGGTAAATAATATGTCCACCGTCCTCACAGAACTTATAGTCTTATTTGTCCCTTCCTTATAAATTAGAGAGCCTGTCATAAGAACCAAGCCCAATTTTTACTCAAAAATGAAGAAACCACTTACTTAGCTCCACTGTTCAGGATAAGACACCATCTCTCACATTAGAAAGTGCTTCCTCGTAGTGTTAGTAGTGAGAACTGCTTGAGGGATTAATCTCTAATTATATCAGTAATAAATAGCTTAGTCTAAGCAAAGTGTTTTTTGAATACAAGGTTATAGGAGAGACTACGGAGGAAATATCTGAGAGCTTAAACACATAAACATACACACACCCACACACTCCTGAGTCATATGGTCAAAGATTCAGAGAGGGTATTAGGCATGGGGTGGAGGGAGCAAGGAATCTGCCATTTATAAAAAGTTCTGGGAAATTCTAATCATCTAATCATCAAGATTTGGATAGCAATCCAGTGGTAAGATCAAGTGACTGTGTTTTCATGATGGTCTAAGGATTTAGGGAACCAGTGCCCCTTGAGATTCCATCTGTCCATAATTGTCCTCCTGCCTCATTCTGAAATATGGCTGAGATGTAATTACTATTGCTTTCTCAAGTAGAGAAACTTGACTGTCTTCTCCAGATCATGCACACAGTGAACCATGGTGGAGGTCAGTGTCCATCTTTTATAGAAGGCCTAGAAGAATCTTGCATACAACACAGCATGGGAATTCCAGAAATTTTGAGTATCTATAAGTTGCTTATTCCTATATTTAGTAAATTGTAAACTCTTATAGACCCTTTCTTTAATTCCTTGGTGGCATTTTTTTTTCACCATCATTGGAGAAGGTCAACTGTGGACACTGAAGGAAAAAGTCCCACCCCTGGTACTTTCTCTTAGTCACACAAATTTCAGGGATTTGGAATTTGTCTGGATTCTAATTAGACTTGCCTCTGCCCAGGCTCCAGTCCCAAAATCAAAAGAAATGGTTGGATTCAGACTCTGTTCAATCTCTAGCAAGAGCCTGAAAAGTAAGTACACATTGCCAAAACTAGGGCTGTATTTTTTACCCAAGAGACAACATATTAAGAAAGTTCAGTCCTCTTGTATACATGTCTTGGATAGAATTTCTGGCCTAAAAATAACCCTGGCATGATTGGGCTGTAGAGCATCTGATTTCTTTCTGGGCCTGGCTTCTTTCAGAAATCACTTCATTAGTTTCACATGGCTTTATCTTAGCCATCCTGATGATGGCACCCGCTACACTTAAATTACTTTTATACTTTTCCAATTAAAGGTGTTTTAATAATAAAATATTTCAATATACATTGGGCATTTTAACATTGAAGTAACATGAATCAAAATTAAATTTAATTTGATATTCATGAATTATGATGGGTGTACTTTTTTATAATATAAGGTTAAATTAAAAATAAAAACTAATTCTTATTAGAAGAAATAAGAAGGAAGTGATCTTGATTTTTTTCCCCCATCACGTAGTGTCCTGCATATCCAGTAAATGAAACTGAACTATGTTAATGCTGCTTGTTTTAAAAAATAAATGAAGACCACATAGAACAAGATCTATTTATGGATTTTTATTTTTTTTAATTTTTTTTTCATTATATTTATGGATTTTTTAAAAATGTTGAATTCAAGGGGGAAAATACATTCTTCTCAAGAAACAGTTATCAAAAAGAAGTCTGGGCTGGGATGTGGCTCAGAGGTAGAGCACTAGCTTACCATGCTTGAGGCACTGGGTTCGATCCTCAGCACCACATAAAAGTAAAATAAAGATATTGTGTCCACCTATAACTAAAAAATAAATATTAAAAAAAGAAGTCTACTTGCTCCTTGCTATCAAAGGACGGGTGACATGATTAAGAAGTAATGACAACTGCAAATACGGGGGAAGCTGTCTCAAAAGTTAGCAAATATGGATTTGAGTTTGGGAAATCCAAAATGTACATTTAGAAAAACCCATCATTATGTAGCAGTTTGCAGTTGCTTCATGATGTTAGTAGGTTGCAAAACATGTAGTACAAAGCAGAATAAAAACACCTAAAGTTTTCACTTGGCCACTGCAAAAATTTTGTTCCTCTTGGACACATGAGCATTTTGGTGATATAAAGTGTACAAAATGAGGCTGCAGTAATCCAAAGTATCTACACAGGGAAGAAGAAGGACATGACCAGTGGTTTAAGCTGATTCTGTTTCCTCTTTATTGTTTCTTCTGATTTCAAAATTTGTGCATTTCTTATATAAAGTGAGGAAGACAAAGCAAGTGATGACGAAGAAATACAGTTCTCACAATTCTTTCCTTTTGAAATACCCACTTTAAAAAAAAATGACCCCTGTTAATGGTTTTTCAGTGAGCTCTTATGGACATTATTCTACATAATTCTTTAACAGCCTCATTTTCTGTCACTGTTTTTAAATTATAACACATATCATTATTATAAACAATTCAAACAATGGGCATACATACCCATTAAAAAGTCTTTCATGATAGGGCCTGGGGCTGTAGCTCAGTGATAGAATGTTTGCCAAGGATCTTCTTTAACTCTGCCAAAAAAAAGAAAAAAAGCCTCAGTTTAAAAAAAAATTATTGCATTATAATTATACACAATAGTGGGACTCATTATGCTATATTCATTTATGCACATAACATAATTTGCTCAATCTCATTCTCCAATACTTTTCCTTTCTTTCCTCTCTTACCTTCCTCACTCACTTGCTCTACTCTCCTGATTTTCCTTCTGTTATTGTTTTTATAAATTAATTAAGTTTTTATTTATTTTTTAGTAGGGAGGATTGAAACCAGGGGCACTTAACCACTGAGCCACATTCCCAGCTCTTTTTGTATTGTTTCTTTAGAGACAGGGTCTCGACGAGTTGCTTAGGGCCTCGCTAAGTTGCTGAGGCTGACTTTGAACTCTCAATCCTCCTGCCTCAGTCTTCCTAGTGCATTATAATGATACATAAGGATAAGTGCTAGGTATGATGGTGCATGCCAGTGGCTTGAGAGGCCGAAGCAGGAGGGTTAAGAATTCAAAGCCAGCCTCAGCAACTTAGTGAGTGAGGCTCTGTCTCTAAAGAAAAAATACAGAAAGAGCTAGGGGTGTGGCTCAGTGGTTATGTGCCCCTGGGTTCAATCCCCAGTACCAAAAAAAAAAAAAAAAGAAGTTCTATGTAAGCCTCACATTCATAATTAACAATTCCAATACAAATTTATTTCACTTTTCAAACTGCTTAGAATGTATTCTTCCAGACATTGTATATGTAATCACTTTTAAAATAATTATCTTACTATGCTCTTGTTTTTTTACTTGTTCACCTAATAAAATTAATTTGATGTTAAATTGATGACTCCCAGTGAATCATGCCTACTTTCCTTTCTGGGCCTGGCTTCTTTCAGAAATCACTTCATTAGTTTCACATGAATTTATACCTTGTGCTGTCACCTTCTACACCATCTGGCCACATGTCTTGCTTTGGCCATTGGACAATAGCCAGTTTGATGCAAGCAGAAGTTTAATAAAAATTTGCACCTTGGGGCTCATCTTTTTGCTTCGCTTCCTCTTGACACCCAGCTACCATGCTATAAATTAGATGGTCTAGACTTCTGGATGAAAAGAAACTGCCTGGATGTGAATTGGGGTTATACCAACTGAGATGTGAGTGATGTTCCAGTCCCAAGATTAACCGTCTGCTAAATGAAGTATTATGAGTGACACTGGCTACCATTAAAAAGAACAGAGTGACACCTCTAGCCACTCCACTGAATCCTGAAGTATAACAAATTCAGAGTTAAATTTCAGTAGTTATGCAGAGATCATTAACTGAAACAATAATATTACCAGTTCATTTGTATCTACCTCATTCATTTAAATTTATGCTTAGTATTCAGTTATGGGAGTATGCAAGCACTTTAAATTAGCTTCTATCTAAGGATCATTTTGCTTATTTGCACCAATGACATTGCAATGGACATCATATTTAACACCAATATTACTAAATATCTTAATACACAAATGTTCACATATACCTCTGAATATTTTCTTGGAGTGAATGTTCGATTCCTTTGAATCAGAGACTAGGCAGTTTTTAAAGTTACTGCTAGATACTGCCAAATTTCCCCCAAGAAGAGGTACAATATATTTATTTTTCAGAATGGGCATACCAAAGATAAGAAGGGCCGCGTGCAATCACTACTAATCAGGTTGGACTCCAGCCTAATTACTTTAGCTAATTACTTAGTTTCAGGAGGTGAAAGACAATTATGAAGAAAAGGGAAAACAAACTTTCAAAGTGTCTGCTGGAATGGTGATCCACCCCGAATCAGGCATTATTGAAGTTGATATTTTTAGAAGCTCTTAACACATTTGGAAAGGGATTGTGAAATTGCACAACCTCTTTGGAAGTCAATTTTTAAAATATCTCATTAAGTTCAAGGTGCATACACCCTTTGACCCAAGACTCTAAGTGTAGCCTAGAGAAACTCTGATATGTGGGTATAGGTAGAAAGACATTTACAACAATGCCATTTGTAATAGTAATCCTGTATGTAAATGGAAAAGTAAGATGTTGATGGAAGAGGACAGTGGGAATGTTGATACAGATCCTTCTGTCAACATGGGAAAATCTCACAAACATAATGATAGAAAGGAAAAAAAGAGAAAAAAGAAACCATGAGAACAGCAGATTGCAGAAGACTTCCTACCATGTGAACCCATTTACCTTGTTTTGGAAAAATGAAAAGACTGTGATGTATATCATTTAGGAATGCACACCAGATGGAGTAAAACTATCAACAATGCACAGAAATAACCTTGAAATTTGTAAGTGGTGATGCTGAGGGAAGTAAGGGGAATAGGATCAGGCTTCTGCTTTCAGAGGTTTCCAAAGTTTTCAGATTGTGGTACTTCTGAAGTTGCGTGGTGGATACTTGACTTACTGTGACTTTTTGTACACACATTTTATGTCAATATTTACATAATTTTTTGTGTGTGTCCGTGGTGCTGGGGATGGAACTCGGGGCCTTGTACATGTGAGGCCAACACTCTACCAACTGAGCTATATCTCCAGCCCTACATAAATCTTTAAAGGACAGTGTGGTGGGACAGGTAACAGAAGGTGCTGGTGTCTTGTGTGGTGTACTATTCCTGGTGCCAACTCAGGGGAAATGAAGGTAGCAGCCTGGGGAATCCCTGCCACACATGCAGTTGGCTCCTGGGTGTTTGGTCCTTGCTGACTGGTTGTGGAATCCCCAGTATTTTGGAAATATTTAGAACACCAAGAAAGTTTTCCAGTAGATAGGGCAATTTCTCACTTCCTTTAAAGTACTTCCTAATGTCTTTGTGTCATTATAATGCATTCATGGCTCATTTGGAAAAATAATGCATGGTTTGTGTCTCTACCAGCTGAAGGGTCAATCTTTCACCTTTCTGTATGAGGAAATGGTAGAAGGCAATATGGTGTAATGGGCAGAACATAAATTATAAAGCTGGATCATCTTAGAATTAGATCTTGGCTTCTCCTCCTATAAGTTGCACCAACTTGGACAAGGGTTAAGTTAACTCAAGTTTTCTGATGTCATGAAAATCAAATGAGATACCTTATATAAAGTGATTGTCACATGGGGGCTTAGTCGTTTCCAATTTTTTTTCTATAATTTCTATATCCGTTTAGTGGCATCTGTTATCATAGATTGAGTGCTTGTATTTAAAAGCCAGATTGCAAGTTATACATTGAAACCAAACCATGTATTGGCAGATTACTTGTTTTTCACCTAGCTAAACAATTAAAATGCTATGCTAAAAAAGCCCATTAGGCCCCTTTTGGATTATACTATTGAGTGAGCTGTTACTTAATAAGGCTGAAAACTTTCCCCTCATATGCACAGGGCAGGGTTCTTCATTTATATTGGAACAGAAATTAGTGTATGATTTGGTGTTTGTGCCTTCTATATGCAAATTATTTTGTATGATGACCTTCTTTCGAACAGCAAACTGAGAGTGTTTGAAACCATCAAAATTCTGGAGTTTGCCAGGCACAGTGGTATATGCCTGTAATTCCAGCAGTTTAGGAGGCTGGAGCAGAAGGATCATGAGTTCAAAGCCAGCCTCAGCAAAAGCAAAGGGCTAAACAGTGAGACCCTGTCTCTAAATAAAATTCATAATAGGGCTGGGGATGTGGCTCAGTGGTTGAATGCCCCTGAGTTCAATCCCCTGCACCCCTCCCCACAAAAGAAAAAGAAGAGACTTAACTGACTTTGCCAACACCCTCCTTTTCTTGCCTTCCTTCTCCTACCTGTGCATCATCCAGAGACTTCATTCTCTAACCATCTTACTCTCCATTAGTCTTCCTCAACTTGCAATGGTCTTCTGCATTTAGTAAAGAAAATTCAGAATTTTAGATTTTCCTCACCTCATCTAAATCTCCTCATCTTCTGCAGTACAGTTCAGTCTCTGTATGTCACCTTCACTGCTGCTATTCTGCCTTTATCCCCATTACAAAGTGGTTTGATCTTAATTAATTGCCTCTAATGGAAGTGTCAGATAAATAGAAGGTTAGAAGAACCTGAAGAAGGTTAAACTTCTTTGTCTTGACAAATCTGAATAGTTATAGAGCTGAGTTAATTGACTTTTTATATATGGGATACTTACTCCAACAGAACTATTTGGGCAAGAACTAAAGCAAGCCCAGAGAGTGAAGGGAACAGAACAGAGAGCACGGATGAGCAAGATGGAACAGGACACCAATCAGATAAACACCATTCCATTGATTTGATTTTGTTTCCAAAAATCCTGGAAGGCTAACCCAATCCTATTTGGCTTATAAACAAAGGAAATGTAATGCTAACATCTCATAGCACACACTTTTTTTTTTTTTTTCCATTTCTGTATCTTCTGGTTAGAGTATCATTTGGATCTAGTTGTTCCATTCTTCCTTGTTACTTTTTATAGTTTACTTGGTGAACTGAAACTATATCTTTCATTATGGTAAAAATGCCAAAGAAAACTAATCATCAGATGATCTGAAAGCAAAAGGGAAATAAAGAATGACAGGTGGTTCATTCAGCAAAACAATGACTGAAATCTCCACTTATTTAACATAAAATAAATTGTTTCTAAGTAAATTCATTTTTTAAAAAAGATAACTGCATTAATCACATTAGTGGAAATATTTTTAAATATATATTAAGGAAATGCAGTATCTTCAAAGAGTAAAGTTCGGCAAAGTGTTTCTTGATAACCTTAAAAAATATTTGTGAACCTAAGTTTCTCTTCAGATATTCTAGAAATTAGAGACACCCATATACTAAATGGGTTAAGATGATTAAGGTTTTAGAGCTCAGGTCTATTTTTCACTGATCATCTTTTTCTTCTTCATTTTCTACATTTAAGCCTGGCTTATACAAGCTTCCCAAGCTTTAAAGATCTTCCCCATTAGTAATAAATCTTTCACAATTTTCAGACTAAAATAAGACATGTAACATGCTAATGTACCTGGTACATTTTTTATCCCATATATTTATTGGTGTATTATAATTACATATAATA